TTAGTTCTGGGTTTGTAAACGATTTTTTGGAGTTCCTATGAAATCTACACTCTAAAATGAAGCAAAAAATAGAGGTACTTCGAGCACAAAGTTGTCATAGAGCGATTTGAAGACCTCTTAAGTCTTCTGTTCGGTGATGGATGTGTTTGCAGGTTGGTTAATCTATGGAAGCCGTGTTGCATTTTGATGAGCTCATATTCGGACTTCATATGATTTTGAATATCTCACTTTGCGTGTGTATATCATAATCATTTGAGAATGTTACACATATTCCATTGGTTGTTAAACTTAATTGGGTGTACGCTGTAAGCATTAGAATTAAATTGGCAGTGTCTATATGATTTTCAGAATTATCGACAGAATTACTAGTAGTTGCGGTATGGTCAGAACAAGTAGGTTTGCTGGGCCAACTTACGCAGGCAAACAAGAAAGTTTTTTATTTTCGATTGATATCAGCATCAATCTAGGGCCACCAAGAAGTCTAACCAACAAGTGATTCCATCTTCTCTGCTCCTAAATGGATGGAGTGAAGATCATCCAGTACTAAAATTCTAAGTATTGGTGTAACTATTACCTTTTTATTGGATTACAAAAGGCCTTCAAGATAAAGTGATACTCCCCTACTCTCTTAGTAAAGCTCAGGAAAACTTTGTTGGAACTGAGCATTTCAGCCTATCTTCACCGCATTTATAACATTTCCAAAACACTCGTGAGTATTCTTCGCAGTCTCTACTGTATCGACATGCAATGGTTGAGCCAAAATGCAATTACTTTCGTAAGATAGCAATAGAAGGTATGAGTAGAGTGATATGAAGTCTGAATGTTGATAATGTTAAAAATGTAGGCAGTGAATGTAAGATTCAGAGTGCATTCTGGTTTCGGAAACACAGTTCATGAAGTTTCTATACGCGCCTTTCCCAGTTAATCCAGAAAGAAAGCAATTTATCTGGGTAAGAAACAGCTTTATTATTAACCAAAATTTACAGATCATTGCCTAAACAATATTACACTGTTCTACCTCCAAACTAACGCAATGTGTTTCGGATTCTGTAAGAATGCTTCCGTTTAGGTCCAAAATTGTATCCTTCCAGCCCAGACGTTCGTTTCACCCACTAGGGTATCAAATCCGACATGGCTGACGCCACAAATAAGCGTCAGTTTAAATAACATAATACAGTTCGGTAGAAAACATAGACACTCCAATAAAAGTACAGAAAAAAGAAACCATAACAAAATACAAATATTTACATCACAAAATTGGATTAATCAGAGTACCAAAATGTAGTACAGAAAGAGTGAGGAAGACCATATTACAAATATGTACATGGAGGGATTTTCCCAAAACAAAGCCTTCAAAATGGATTCTACACTGAGTTCAAGATCCCGGTTCTGGACTATGGTTGATGATGGTCAGTGGAGAAACGCACTTGTGTGGTAAATGATTTTTAACGCCTGATGACCAGTTGTAATATGGAATCTGAAAAGCATTAGAAGGAATTTGTATCAGTCGTTTCTAAATTACGGAGTCATTTATTTCAGAAATCAGGTTGTGTTTAAATTTGCAGTTGTTCGCCGAAATCAAACTTGGAGGTTTACCTCTGAGGTCCAGGTATAAATACTCTGATTGCTTGAGCCAGTGCACAAACAAATTTGTTGACTTGTGCTATTTCCTGGTTTCTGACATTATACAATCCCCAGAGTGTCCTTAACGAAATTAGAGAAGGCTTGTCTGAACATGCAAGATTCTTCAACAAACTATAAGTTCTGTACCAATGGCAGTCATAAAGTGGGCTGAAACGCAATCTATCTCCACGTTTTTTGACAAACTCCAAGCATCGCAACACTAAATAATCTACTTCCCGTGGAAGCGCACTGATAAGCAAGTCCCCAAGGTTACGTGGATCCAATTCTATTGCTACTCCAGATATGGATGTAAGAGAACTATGGAAACATTGCTAATCCCACTATTTCTAGAACTTTGACAAGATAGGCAAGAAGTTGGATAAGAAATACGCAGTACGAAATCGTATTATGATAATATATTAGTTAAAGACTACAAAAAGGGTTTAATTGTGCAATAAATACACTTACTATTCGTAGCAAAATGATGAAAGTATAGGATGTAGTACAGTAGCTGTACCCAGGCCAAATTATGCCATCTGTCTGAGGGACAGAACGTAGCTGAAGGTGAACGCACCCCATTGAGTTAACGAGGAAATCCTTCTAACATCTAAGAGACCCCCGATTAAACCGTTCTCTCCGATCCGAATGGGCTAAAACAAACTGTTGTCAGTTCGAGTAGCTGCCAAAACATCAAAAGACGCCCAAGAGCGAAGTGGTATGGTTGTTCAAAGAGTGCTTGAACAGGTTGGTGGTAGCTTAGATGAAGCTCACGCACATTATGTACACCGATAACAGTGGCTATCACGTAGCATGAACATTCATACCACCATGGAAACTAGCGACCCCCGGGAGCATCGTCCATCACCACTCTCAACTGTTAAGCCTCTGAGTCCGATGGCTGTGAAATTCAGGAATCGGAAAGACCTGACGCATGCACATGTTACAGCCAGAAGAACAACCTGTCTAGCTGCATTGAATCTTGCGAAAGCCGACCCAGATCTTTTAGACCACAACCGTGAGGCCAAAATAAGCGCACACGAATGACAGTTGATCTTGATCAACAACCCTCCACATAAGATATGAACATAATGGTCTCGCCGATGGAACACACCGCACAGGCGAAAAACCTGTAACGGCAAGTTCCCGTAGAAATAGCCAACTCGGTTTGAACAATTTTTTTCAATATCGGACAACGAGTATCACTTTAGGGGCGCATCAGGTGATCAGACAAACCCCCAAGTGTTTTCGTTACAGCGTAAGAGGACTGAGGAATAAGCTGTGAGAGATCAGGAATATGTGTTCTCAGATGGATATGAAGATCATAATACTAACTGAATCATGGATATCCCGTGACATTGCAGGCAACGAGTTGAGCTTGCAAGTCAGGACACTCTACTGGTTCGACAGGGTACACACAACAGGAGGCAGAATGGCCAAATATATGTCAAAACCGGAACGTGAACTGCACAAAAAACTTGACTGGAGGAACTTGCCGGTCCCTTCAATTACTAAAGCTCAGAAAGATAAGTTGATTGAGGCAACGATGTAACTACCACTACTTGGGTTTGATGAAATACTCTTAGCTGTAGATTTCAACACGACGATGATGCATTCATGCCTAACATGTTCATAAACGAAATACTCAGACGAGACCGAAACGCGTCCTACCTTTGCGACACTAGGGCAAACTACAGATGCATGAGAGAGCAACTTCTGAACGCACCGTGGTCACGGCAATGGTGAAGATTGGCAGTATACGACCACTGGCAAACAGTAAGAAAATTCATTCAAAATACTGCTCTGCAGAATGTGCCTCTGAGATATCGCACGCTTTAAGGGAGAAGAACATAGGCCAAGTATGGCGCTGAAGGCACGGTACAGGCGAAAAGGAGAACCCGAGACAAGTGGAATGTCTTTCCAGAGGATTCGGGCCATAGTTTTTGTTTGGAACTTAAAAGCATATGCAATATCAAGGTTCGAAGCGATAGGAGGCAGTTCCAGAAGAAGCTTACTGCCAAAATACGGGAAAGATGAAAATACCTATTTAGGTTCATGACTTAAAGAAAACCTAAATACAAGGGTGTTTGTGCTCTCAAAGGTACAAATGACGAAGATCTTAACAACCTTAAGATGGCTGGGACTTTCAGCACCAACTTCGCCGACCGTTTAAACCAAGTACATACAAGTAAACTGGAATTCTTCTTGTAACGTAGTTATTTGAAGATAATAATAGTAATTATTAGTACTCCTCGAAATCAGTATCATCTGATGACGTAAAAGATATCTGACTTCTGACTTAATAAAAAGTAAGCTAAAATCCCTGCGCCCAGAAAAGTCATCAAGATGTGACAATATTCGCCTTATAGTCTTGGAATAGTGAGCAGTGGCACTCAGTCCCCCGTTTTGTGAACTGTTCATGTATTCACTGAAGACACACCAACTCCAAGGTGAATGAAAACACGCCACTCTCTCTCTAATCTTTGAAGGATGAGATAAAGAGGATCCAGCCCCTTACAGACCAGTTGCTTTATTACCAGTACTGTCGAAGGTGATAAAAAGACTGGCGCATGAGAAAATGAGGGAGCATATGGATAAGGAGGAAATCCCCCATGAAGCTCAGCTCGGGCTTCGAAAGACAGGTCGTGCGCATCCAATCTTCTCACAGCATGGGACACTGAACATTCTACTGAGACCGGAAGATTCCGGACCACATAATATTTCCTGGCTTTGCAAAAGTCTTCGTTGCATTACCTCACTCACTCCCAATTGTGAATGCTGCGGAAATGGGCTTTAGTGTCCTACTCCTATCTTGGCTCAGAAACTACCTTGAGAATAAAGAGTTTCGCACAAAGGTAAATAAAGTGTACGCGAGTTAACGAGTCTGGACATCGGAAGTTCCACGTGGGACGATCTTAGGTCAGCTTTTCCTCTGATACTCACTAATGATCTGTTAGACACAGATAGCTCGGCAACATTGATTAGAAGCGAAACCATCCCAACGTGATCACGGATGCATCACCACTATTCCCTCGAGACAATCCTCGAAAAATTGCGCATCAAGTAGCTAGCACTCAAGCTCATGGAAACTTTTTATCATTAGGAAACAAACGTATTCATTCAGATCACGGGACATGCAAACTCAAAACTGTCAAGTGACTAGAATTAGGCAGTCGAGTGGTCAGACACTCATCCATTGGACGCAACCAGATACCTGGAACCGTACCGAAAGAACAAGAATCGAGCGCAAAGAAATCATTTGGTTTATATTAGCTTCTGAAAAAGACATATGATATTGAGATATTTGATAATTATCTCAAACTTGTTCAGTTGAAAGATATTGTTTATTGGACGTTGTTACATTGCACCTGCCTTCAAAATCTCCTTATTCAACCGCCTGGAACGAAGTAGTGTCCAGATTCTATGACTCTCAATTGGGTTATATTATCAGTTATTTTATTGTTTTTATCTTTATGTTGTATTATTTTTGATGGTTTCCGATTGCTGTAGTTACCAAATTTTCGTCTTATTTATCTTCTAATTCGACTCCCTTTCTCATATGTCCCGTTTTCCAGATTCCGTTACTGCGCTCCTTACTCACCTGGTAAAACCTGCCTTCAGGATAGGAACTAATCTAGCAAAAGTTGAACGTTGCATTTTATGGCTGTTCAGGAGTCTAATTGTGCTGTAGACGATCAGGTTGATGACGAAAATTGTGGTCCACTGCTCGTACAAAAGTTAGAAGTAAGTTCTAGCAGAATTAATTATGTTGGCCTAAGTAAAGTTCTGTGTTACTAATATTCGCCTGCTTACCATCTGAGAGAACTGTAGCTTTCAGGGATGTTTGGTGGTAAGCAGTAGGTACCCAAATGAACATGAATAGTGAAATAGCTATTATTACACTTAATGCTGACTATTAAGTTGGAAAGTAGACATCTGCGTTAATGTGGACGAGAATTGGATTATTTGATATATTATTTTGGAAATTTAGACTATCTGGGGACCATAAAGGCGTAATCTTTTAGACCTTTATCTTACAGTGAGGTATTTAGGCGACCTAATCAACACCAGATTTTCTTAACCACTGTCGCCTGTATTTCCTCTTTTTCACTGAGTTGGAAATATTTTCAGGCGGAGTAGCCCCTTTGCGAATTTCGGTAAAGGACTGTACTTACACATTACTGCCACTCGTAAGAGTTATTTACTCAATCTTCCCCCTTAGTATTCTCAATACCATTCTATCTCGTTTATCATCTAAAAAGTGACATTTACCCTTTAGTTAATCGGTCAGCAACAACGTCTAACTTGGTACATACGTGCATCCGTCCAAATTGCCGTATTACATTAGCTAAGAGATATGGAATTTTCAATTCACATCCCATAATGGTAGAGGTGGTAGCAGTATTAGCGGTCACGGAAAGGATTAGGAATCGTAGTTATGGTTCGAGAAGTATATCTCAGTGAAATAAATTAAAAATTGACAGGTTATGGGGAATCCAGAAGATCGGAATTTGAGAGAAGACAAAGAATGAATCCACCTGAGCCATTGCCATCGTTTTTGATCCATGTCATTCAAAGTCTAACAACCGGTTATGATTTTATCGCTGACCCTATTAGCATGACAGTCCAGTTTTTGGTCAGGCCGCCCCTACCCCTACATCAGATAACACCACTCATCGACGCTGTCGGTGGTTAAGTATAAGTAACACATGTCCCAACCAACTTAATTGATGAAGTTTCAATACTTCATCTATTAATTTGCCGTCTTTATCTAATACCCCTGTTCCTGACCAAAACTTGTTTACTCGGTGATACCAGAGTCTACCAGCTGTGTTTCGAAGATACCTGTAATATACTGAAATCCTTTATTCTTAGTGGCCATGTTACGTATCCGTAAAGTAAGGTGCTGCAAAGTGATGCGCAATAGACTCGTTCTTTGGTTAGCCTACGCTTTAAGTGACGCAGGTTGGCAAAAGCTAGTCAAGCCTTTTGTATCCGTGCTGAGATTTCGTCAAACGCTATGCCATGAGCACTGATGAAACTCTCAAGATTAGTGAAGCGGTCAACACCTCATCATCATCAATAGCAACGTAGAACCTTGCACCTAAGTACAGCAGTCCAAGTTACCATACCACAGCACAGAGATATAGTTGTCAATTGAAATCCCATGGTAGTAGAGGTAGTAAAAGTACTAGAAGTAATCGGAGAGACTAGGGTTCGAAGATATTATTAAAGAAGTATAATTCAGTAAGGTAAATTTAGCAAGAGAAAGATAGAGGTGAATTCGGAAGGTCAACACGTACAACTGCTTCACTCACTATCACTAGTTCAGGTGCCGATGCACCCCAATCCTGAAGCAACATTTTGCATTTGTGGATGGTGCTTGCATTGCTTCTTAAGATATTCAAAAGACTCTTATGTCAGCATCTTTGCCGAATAGAACTGTGTCATCTGCATATTTTAAAATAACTAGTGTTTTTTAAGAAAGTTCAACTCCAGGAACGTCAGATGTTGTTATCTTTGAATGCATGTCGATGTAAAGGTTAAATAGTAATGGAGACAGCGCACAACCCTGAGGAACACCACTTGAAGTAAACACTTCTGATGGCAGTTCTCTGTAAGCTCTCATTCGACCAGCAGTGTTCGAGTAGAGAGCCTGTACAAGGTTAATGTACGTCTCTGATGCACCTTTCAAGAATAGACACCACCATAGAACCTCATGACCAACAGAGTCAGACTCCGTCTTATAGTTAACGACTGATCGTCTAAGTTATCGTCAAGTCCGACACAAGCACAGGGTTATTGATATCTTCCACGTTTTGGTCCATATTTTTAGCATATAGCTTCAAAGCTGCAGCATTAATTGTCCTGTTCACTGCAAAATGTTATCAAGTCATTGTTCAGACAGTTGAAATTATTACAAATTCCTCAAAAGAGTTGACGTGACTGGCTGGTGACTTTTATTCAATTGGTTATTTGTTCAAAGGCTTCAGATTGTTATTTTTCCTTTTCAGTCCGCTGGAATTGCTGTTGCTGACATTAAAAAACTTCGAGAGGCAGGCTTTCATACTGTCGAAAGTATCCAGTTTGTTCCAAAGAAAACGTTACTAGCAGTAAAAGGAATCAGTGAAGCTAAAGCGGACAAAATCATAGTAAAAATATTTTAGGCGTTTACTATATTACAGGAAGCTGCTCAAAAGTTAGTCCCATTTGGATTCACGACAGCCACTGAATTCCATCAAAAACGGTCAGAAATTATCCAGTTAACTACTGGCTCAAAAGAATTGGATAAACTGCTACAAGGTATGGGCGATTCACTAGTTACTTTTCAATACAGGTGGTATTGAAACTGGATCAATAACGGAGTTGTTTGGAGAGTTTCGAACTGGAAAAACACAAATATGTCATACCTTAGCCGTAACTTGTCAGGTAAAATAGATCCCACTTGATTAGTTTTATCGCGTTTTAATGTATCGGTTGTTCCCAACATAAACCACCTTTCTTTAAAAAACCATCTAAAGAATGTTTCACTAGTTTGGTCGTTTGTTTTTAGACTGATACAAGGAAAACTAAACAAGTGTTATGGTTTCGGAATTTCGTGTTAACAATATTTATGTGATATAGTGCAGTGGTATTTAGGCCTAAACTACAGCGTTTGAGATGTATGGTACTTATTACGGATATTTTCAACCATCTTCAGGTAACAGGATCTTAATTTTCGTGCGTTTCACTATAGTCAGAAGTTTCTAACATAGACTAATTTACACAGACCAAGGTTGAATGTAATCAATCATAACCATGGGTTTGTAGAAATGTTGGTTCAGAAACACTCGTGATTCTTTAAATCACTAGATGTTGTTCCTGCAAATATCTGTACTGAGAAGACCTTAACTGCTTCTGGCTGAATAATCCCCTTGGTTATATAATACGCTTGTTCAGTAATTTCTTCAAATTTAAACTTCTACATTATCAGAACTGACACTGTTGAGTAATAAATTGAAATTTACAAGTTGTAAATCAAGTTTTTGGCAAGTAAACTGTCATTCAGACTCATAGCAACGAATCCTACTTGTTAAAAAAAGCCCGTTAGCTTTCTATTTCAGTGGAAATTATTTACTTATTTATTTTTCAGAAACTTATCTGCGAATCCTATTTAAATTTCTAGTTTATAAGGGAACGTAGGATGGGAACGATTTTAGGCAAAGAAATAATAAACACTTATGTTATGACGGTTTATTTACAGACATAAACCCAGCGTTACCTATTCCGTTGCAAGTAGTCGGTTAGTATTACCACTTTCAAAGTATGACTCTTAGCTGAGTTCATTAGTACTTTCCTGGTAAATGATTTACACAGCAATAAAATAAATACGTGTTAATGTTTAGGTTGCATACATTGTTCATGTTGGCAATTTGTAATGAATGGTTTTCCATGATTAACTCGATTAGCGCGATACTTGACAAAGTTTACACACGAGTACAAATCAAGTTATATAAAGCGTGGCATTGCATTGTCTGCTACTTAACTGGTATGTATTTATGCAAAATATGTTTGGATATGACCATCTCTTTTTTTACATAAACGGATAATTCCGAATTTCCCATACTGAATCAAAGTTTTCAATGTGCTGAAACGAAGCAGTTGGTCTATGATTGACTCACTCAGCATTTTGTAGTGATATGTAACCTAGTTAGGTTAATATTAACAAATTGGCAGTTTATATCAAGACTCATTCAACAAATCACATTGCTTAAACATCTTGTAATCACAGTGTATACTGTCTTTTACGTTGTATTCAAAATACTGTCAGTTACATTGTAGTCAAATTGTTATGTACTATATGCTCAACCAGTCAATCAATATAAAGCTTGGGACAAATGCACATCTACAAAAGTTTACACACACACTGGCTCATTAATATCAACGTGAGTATCAGCGTGAGTACTAGAGCGGCAAAAACAGTTGTAGTATCAGTGCTAAATCAAGTATGATGTATGTGAATGAGGAACTAGTTCACACAATGAAAAGTATTATGTATATGAAGATATAAGGATGTGTAGTGAATCCACTTGTATGAAAAGAATGCAATTCGTTTAATAGAAACATTCATTATTATAACCGATTATACCAGTGAATCAAGAAATAGTTCACACAATGAAAGGTATATATATATATATATATATATATATATATATATATATATATATATATATATATATACATACATATATATATATATGGATGTGTCTGTGCCATTGCAACCAGTTGTAAACCGTTCCATGCAACATCTGCAATAATTAGTTTGGATAATCACCATGATCCCAACCTGAATGTTTTTGCACCTACCACTATAGCTGCGACTAATAGTCAACAATTTTATCTTGATCATTCGTATCCTTTTTCAAACTTCTACTCCAGCGTACCTCCTGCTTCAGGGTAGGAAGTAGTTATATAACACTTTTATTCAGTCAGTTGACTATGTTTTACTTCTGTTTCTGTCTCTTTAGTTACCAATTGATATGGGTGGTGGTGAAGGAAAGTGTTTATACATAGATACAGAAGGCACTTTTCGTCCTGAACGTTTGTTAGCAGTTGCAGAAAGATATGGTTTATCTGGTAGTGATGTCCTAGACAATGTGGCTTATGCCAGAGCTTATAATACAGATCACCAAATGGAATTACTTATTAACGCTGCGGCTATGATGAGTGAGTCAAGGTAAGATGTTTTGTTTATGTTTAAAGTGTTCGTATAGTCTTGATGATTTATGGTATGACAAGGCGTAGAGATGGTTATTTACAACATAATGCTTGTAACAAGATTTAATTTGATAGCTTTTTATCAATTAACTACCTAGTGTTCTTGATAGTTATAATGCAACCAGGATCATACTACTGTTACTCATTTTTAAAATTTCTACTATATTTAAAGCATTATCATTTTGTGCCATAACAACGTTCTACCTCTTCGATCTATGTATTTTTTTCCTTTTTTCACGATTTTATGAGAAAATTAGACCAAATGCAAACGTTTCTAAACACGGTTGTTTTCACGTTCTTGATACTGCTGTACGTATCAAAACTTGAGTGTTTTTATGTTGTTTCCAGATAATCATGGTCCTCTGAGGACCATATTATTCATTTACAACAATTCTGCATGCTATGCATTTTTGAGTTAAACAAAGTCAAGAAGAAAAGGTTTAAACTAAAAGCTTAAGTCTCCTTAATTCCAGTTGATAAATACAGTTTAATCTAGTTTTTCTTGTAGGTTAAGTAATAGTCCGCTTGCCTTCTGATGTATATGTATCGTTTGCGTTCTTTATCTGTGCGCTACACATCTTGTCTCTTTGAAAAACCTTTTGATATCTAAGTTTTACGTGGTTCTTATTCTACATTTCTCAATATGAAAATAACTTAAGGAAATAAACAGTAGTGAAGTTTGTCTGAATTCTGTAGAAAAAAGACTACTTAAAATGTACGGATAACATTGTCTTACTTTGTGATGATACACAGTCTATCTTAGTTGCATTGCGCCAGTCGGGAATTATTGTTTGTAACAATGGAATGTACTTTAAACCTAAATGTACAGTACTCTTGCAAGACTAAGAAAAACTGGCTTCCATACTCTTTGCGTTTTCCGTTAATAGTGGTCGAAATGTTTATGCATCTGGGTAGTCATGAGAACTGGTGATGAACAGTTAAAAGTAACTTTACATTTGCGTATATTTTTCATGTGTACACGAGAATGATCGAGTTCAATACTGTAAACAAAACTTTAGATCGTAAACTTTATTACTAATTTGTGAAATCACACTGTGCATACGTTCATTGTCTAATCAGTGTGACTAGATCGAAACCTAAGGTTGATTGTTTTTCCGTGAACTGAAATTTTCTAAAACACCACCAGCATGTAGTGATCAGTTCAATTTTGTGTTGCACTTAGGACGAATAATTTTTCTTTAAGTTGACAAGATTTATTGTCTAATAATATCCCATAAGTAGTTTCAACTTATTGCTTCATTCCAGTATGTTATATATTCTACAATCATTTTTAGATATGCGTTGTTAATTGTTGATAGTGCTACAGCTCTTTATCGTACTGATTATTCTGGTCGTGGAGAATTGTCAGCTCGACAAATGCATTTGGCTAGATTTTTACGTACATTATTACGATTGGCTGATGAATTTGGTGTGGCTGTAGTCATTACTAATCAAGTAGTCGCTCAAGTTGACGGTGCTGCTATGTTCTCTGCTGATCCGAAAAAACCTATTGGTGGAAATATAATGGGTCATGCATCAACTACTCGGTCAGTTGCAGTAATATTTAGGGAATTTTTGAAATCTATCTTTTAGTACAGTGATTAGTTCATTAATCGTATCAGTTACCATAATCCAAATGACAAGTTATTTTAATATGTTGTGTTTTAATTATATGATGCGTAGTTCATTGATACTACGGAATAGAGTAGATTCATTGGTCATCGCATTAGCATCTTTTACGGTTTTAGTCGGTAGTTCGACATTTCTGGTTAACTCCCTAGTCCAAAACAATTAGTCACTTCTACAAATTTTTGAAATAACAGCAATCTTTTTTCATATTTTTGTACACAAACAATCGATTTTCTTTCACATTACATTCAGTTAGTGATTCTCTTCTTTGAATAACCACCTTGTTCATTTCTCCGTCCAGTCGAACTTCGTGCATACGTACATCAGTTTAAGATGCCAAACTACATTAGTACAGAGATGAATTGTCAAAATGAAACCAATATCCGTAGATGTAATAGAAATAAAAGCACTAATCAGGCAGATTAGTATTCGAAGATGTTATTGACAGAGTTAAATTCAGTGAAATAAATTTAAGAAGAGGAAGATAAAGGTGATGAGGAATTTAGATTAGAATTTGAGAGAAGACAAAGAACGGATGTATCTGTGTCATTACAAACGATTTTGATCCATGTCGTTCAAGGCTTCTAACCATTGGTTATTATTGTCTCGTAGACCCCAACCAGGTAGTCTACACCTACTGACATGACTCAGTCCAGTTGTCAGTGACTTCATAGATTTCTGCCATGTTTCGGTCTGATCGCTTCTACCTCTATATCAGACAACACTGCTTGTCGAGTCTGTGGTTGTTCGAGCATACGTAACACCTGTTCCATCCACCTCAATTGATGCAATTTCACTACTTCATCGATCGATTTGCCATCTTTATCTATTACCCTTTTCCTAACAGCCACATTGCTTATTCGATTGTCCCAGGACATTCAAGAAGTGCTTCGAAGACACCTATAATTGAAAACCAGTAACCTGCCAACATCCTTTACTATTACTGTCCATGTTTCACACCGATATAGTAGGTCGAAGTGAACTGATGCGCAGTATACTCGTCCTTTGGTTAGCAAACTGATATCTCCCCTTCAGCAGGCCTTATGTATGTGTGCTGAGATTTCATCATACACTAAGCACAGATGAAACTCTCAAGATTAGTGAAGCGGTCAACACGCACAACTACTTTACTCACTGTCACTAGTTCAGGTGCCGATGCAACCTAATCCTGAAGCAAGATTTCGCATTTGTAGGGGGAGAATCGCATCCCGAACGTGCTTGCATTGTTACTTAAGGTGGTCAGAAGACTCTGCATCTTGTTAGCGTCCTCACAACTTGTCTGTCCGTTGTACCAATTATCAATTTCGCTTATAGTTCCATTATCTGACTCATATTTAATCGAATTGTTGTTAGTAAGGTAGACGAAATATGGATCCCATTCACATTGTGTTTTCGCTATTGACAGGTGTTGTCAAAATAACGACGTAAGTGTCAAACGTTGGATATTTGTCTTTTATACGGTTCACTCCAGCAGAGACATACAAGGGAAAGAGAAACGGAAAAGACAAATAAGCCTACTCAGAATGTTACCTTCCATTTAAGTAAATAATGCTTAGTGCGTCAAGGAAACGGACACAAGATAAAATAAATGTTTAGATGACATATACAAGCATAAATGAGTTGTATAAGTATAAGTTTAAAAGGACGTAAATATAAGAGCCATTTATAATTGAATATCACAATTTCCTATGAAAAGAGTAAATTCATGAGGAGGAGGAGGATAAAAGTGAATCAATAACTACTACATGCTGTCTTAATTATTAAAAGTCTATTCTAAAGCCAGAATAAATAATCACTTGTGTATTAGCGCACTAAATACTACAAACATATATATTTGAAATCATTAATCAATCATCATTGTTAGACCACCATTAGAAACCTGGAAGCACTGGACGGCCGTTTCGTCCTAGTATGGGACTCCTCAGCAGTGCGCATCCACGACTCCTGCGGAGGAGTCCCATACTAGGATGAAAGGGCCGTCCAGTGCTTCCAGGTTTCTAATGGTGGTCTAACAATGATGATTGATTAATGATTTCAAATGTGTAAAAACGCAAACCTCCAAAACTGTGCCCCAAAACATATATATATACATATATTGTCTCTGAAATTTGTCTTTTCCAGATTATACCTTAGAAAAGGTCGTGGTGAAACTAGAATTTGTAAAATTTATGATAGCCCTTGTTTACCAGAAGCTGAAGCTATGTATGCTATTCTTGCCGATGGTATTGGTGATGCAAAAGATTGATAAATAGACCACTTTCACCAAAATGTGTTTAAAAAACGTTCTTCATTTCAAAAGTTGGACATTTCTCCTCGTTTTTTTTCTCCTTCTTTTACAACAAAGTAGTTCCGTTGAAATTTTGAATGCTGTAAATATGTGAATATTTTAAAAATAATAGCCTTCTACACAGCACTAATGTTTTCTTGTTTCCTTTTCCGGAAACATTTGGTTTGTTATTATTATTATTAATAATTTTTTTTGAGAAGAAAAGATTTCTGAAAAAATTTTTTTTATACAATGATTTATTAATAAAGACGAATTGTTATGTCTCGGTTTCTCTACTTTCTTTTTTTTTCCAAGTTTACTTTACTTTACTTGAATTTTAAAAGTAGTAATTTTCATTTTGTGTCAACATAGTAAGTAAATCTATGCGTTAAATGTGTTTTAACAGAAATAACTTACTTATACAACTGGTGTATTGATTCACGATCACGTGGTGTTGGAATTTCATATTGTATCATCAATCAGTCAGTCAGTCAGTCAGATGCAACGTAGAACTTCGTACGTAAGTACATCAGTTCATGTCGCCATACCACATCAGCACAGAGAAGTAATTGTCAATTCAAATCCAATAGTAGTAGAGGTAGTAAGGGAATTAGAAGTAATCAGAGAGGTTAGGGTTAGAAGATACTATTCAAGAAGTATGATTCAGTGAGAAAAGTTTAGAGAGTCGAAACTAGAGTTGTTGAAGAATCCAGAAGATTAGGGTTTCAGAGAACACAAAGAATAAATGCACCGGCGCCATTGCGAACGATTTTGAGTCATGTCATTCAAGGTCTCTATCCATCGATTATTATCATCTCGCGTACCCCAACCAGGTAGTCGACAATTACCGACACGGCTAAGTCCACTCGTCAACGATTTCATGGATTTCTGCCATGTTTTGGTCTGGCCACCCCTAACTTTCTTCCAATCTACTCCTACACTACAAAACAAAGTTCGTCGAGGCAGTCGGTGGTTGGGCATACGCAACACATGTCCCAACCACCTCAACTGATGAAGTTTCAGCACTTCATCGATCGATCTGCCATCCTTGCCTAGTACTCGTTTCCTAACGACAGCATTGCTTACTCGGTTGTCCCACGGTATACGAGCAATGCTTCGAAGACACCGATGATCGAAAACCAGTAACCTACAAATATCTCCTACTCTCACTGGCCATGTTTCACAGCCATATAGGAGAACGGAGCGAACTGCCGCACAGTACACTCGTCCTTTAGTCAGCAGACGGATATCACGACTATGCCATAAGTGACACAGGTTGGCAAAAGCCAATCGAGCATTCTGTATCCGAGCTGAGGTTTCGTCAGTAACCAGGCCATCGGCACTGATGAAACTCCCAAGATAAGTGAAGCGGTCTACTCGCTTGACTACTTCACTCCCTATCACTAGTTCAGGTGCCGATGAAACCCAGTCTTGAAGCAACATTTTGCATTTCGAGGGTGAGAACCGCATTCCGAACATGCATTATTGCTTAGGGTAGTCAGAAGACGCTGCATTTTGTCAGCATCTTCACCAAGTAGGACTATGTCATCGGTATATTCTAAGTCAATGTTCCCTATCGAATGGTCTAGGAGCGTTGTAATTGAAGCGTATTAACAAGTTTTTCAGCATTTATTATTATGGTTGACATTAATTACTAAATTATGAATTCATGCAGTACGTAGTTACAGAAGTTATAAATTAATTGAACTGTTAAATATAATATGCCTTAATTAGATGATGTTTAGTTGATTGATACTACGGAACAAGGTAGATTCATTGGTTATCGCATTAGCATCTTTTGCGGTTTTAGTCGCCAACACTCCTCCCCTTTTTAATAGCGTGCGCTCCTGGGGTCGCCTTGCATTTTGACTGTTGTTCGCCACTGTCTGAGAGGATACCTATGGGAACGGAGATCAGCTTGTGACTGAGTTTCTTCTCGGGTGGGTGGGCTGCTGGTAGGTTGAAGGTATCAAGTGGGTTGTCAAGGGGAATATTTCCTGCTCTTGATACACGATCTGGGGCTAGCCCTTTGCGTATCTGGTTTCGATGGTGTGACCACCTTTCTTTTCCTACTTGTACTTCGTACATTACTCGCCCAACTCTTTTGACCAGTCGCGTTTCAACCCATGGACCATGAGTTTTTCTGTAGTCACGGGTGAACACAGGGCACTCCATTTCGTAATAGGATTGCCTTTGTTGCTTTGTCTCTACTGATGTTGGTACATTAGTCGGATGCATCAGGCTGTGGATTGTTTTCAGTCTTCTTCCCATCAGGATTTCTGCCGCGGACTTTTGCTCCAGTAACAACTCATTTGGTGTTGTTCGATAGAAGTTTTGTAACGCGTCGGCTGGTGTCCTCTCCCCTTTAGACTTAACCAATGCTCTTTTGAACGTATCCATAAACCTTTCCGCTTGCCCGTTCGATTGCGGGTGGTATAGTGGCGAGCGTAAATGTTTAGTGACTAGGCTTTGGTAGGAAGTTTGGAATTGTGTGGTGGTAAATTGAGACCCATTTCAGATACGACCACATCTGTTATACCAGTAAGGAGCTGTATTTTCTTAGTTGTCGTGGGCTGCATTACGGGGCTGATTTCTGGCCATTTTGAGGAGGCGTCGACCACAATCAAATACATAGTTCCATTGATTAGACTAGCGAAGTCAACGTGTATCCTGGACCATGGATGATCAGATTTAGGCCATGAAACCGACGGAACTTTGGCCTTCATCTTTGACGCTTGCTGACGCCGCATTCATTTTTCAACCTCCGCTGCGATATGTTGATTCACGAGAGGCCAGTATGTATGACTCCTGGCTATGGACTTCATTCGTTTAACGCCGGATGACGGAGATGGAACTATCTAAGCACTTTTGCACGAGGGGATTCTGGCAACACTACTCTTTAACCAAACATCAAACAGTCATTCACGATGTGTAGTGAATCCCGCCACTGATACAGTTGCTTCATGTCACCCTCAAACTCCTTCGACGGCCAACCGTCAGTGACATACTTCATCGTCATCCTGATGACGAGGTCGTTTCTAGGAGCATTTTGTATGCCTGTTGAAGACATCGGTAATGCGTGAACTGCGATTGTCAGTTAACATTGCTCGTGGTCTTCCACTGACAGAAATAAGATTACAATGTTTTCCTCAGCCGCCACTTGATCATTACTGAGTCGTGACAAGGCGTCTGCTTGACCGAATTGTAGAGTACGTCGATATTGGATTTCGAAATCATACCCCAAAAGCACCAAGGCCCATCGCTGAAGACAATTCGCAGAATGGTCTGGAATGCCAGATTTAGGACCGAATACTGCTAACAAAGGCTTGTGATCTGTGAGGAGCGTGAATCTCCGACCGTACAGAAACTTGTCGAAACGGCGAACAGCAAACACAAGGGTAAGAGCCTCTTTCTGTACCTGGCTGTACTTCATTTCTGATGTGGTAAGTGTACAGGATGCATGCATAACGGCTTTTTCTGACGCGTCTGGAAACTGATGTGAGAAAACAGCACCTAGGCCATATGCTGAAGCGTCTGCTGCTACGATGATTGGCATGGATGGATCGTAGTGTGTTAATAACAGTTTCGAGCTAACCAAAAGCCGCGTCACCCTCTGTAGTCCAATTCCAAGTGCTGTTCTTCTGCAATAGACAATTCAATGGAGCGCAAATATCATGCATCGAGGGAACAAATGCTGAATAATAACTGATTAATCTGAAAAAAGGTCGTAATTCTGAGACATTAGTGGGAGTGGGAATCAGTCTGATAGCTCGGATGTCTGAGGATCCGGTATGTGACCGTCGGCATCAAAGATGAATCCCAAATACTTTACCGACTGCAATAAAAACTGGCATTTTTCTGGGCGTAACCGGAAACCGTTGTCACTGATGCGTTATAGTACCGATATCGTGCGTTCGTAGTAAGCAGCTCTTTAGATGCTTCATCTACTTCCACTTGAAAATGAGCATCAGCTAGATCGGGCTTTGCGAAAAATATTCCCCCATCTAGCATAGTGAACAGATCCGCTGCGACTGGCAGAGGTTAATGATGCTGTTCTAGAGATGCGTTTAGACCTGTAGAAAAGTTAGCATATATACTTATCGTGCCGTTTGCCTTCTTGCTAACGACTATGGGTGCTGCTCAAGTAGAGTAAGAAACGGGAGTAAAAACCCTTTGTTTTTGAGGGCGATTTAATTCTTCGTCTACTGTTGCTAATGTTGCATAAGGTACGGGTCTCTTTGGACGGAAAGCAGACTTAGCCGTAGGTTTCAACCGATGTGTTGCTTTCATGGCAGTACACCGACTTAATCCAGTTTGGAAAATGGTTGAAAACTCCGTCACCAGCTTCCACTTACATGATTCAGGGTCATGTGGTTGTGATACCAGGTGGCATGTGGTATTTAATGGGTCATCAGCCAATTTTAGCTGGTCGAACCAATCTAAACCAATTAAATTTAGATCAACTGACGTTATATAACATACACCAGTAAATGACGAGTCTCGGAAGGTAACTTTACATTCCAATTGTCCTTACAGACGAAGGTAATTACCACGTGCCATATGAGGCTTCTGTGTTGTGGGCTGCCCAATTTGGTCCATTTTTTACGTGAGAGGATGGTGACGTCAGATGCAGTATTTATTTGCTTTCTAAACGGATGCCCGTTAATATTAAGAGTAATAAATTTCCTCTCACCTTGTGATGAGCTTTGACAAGAAGATATTAGACTCAATGAATTGGTACCGGATCTAAGAACAGAATTCTTCGCACTTCTGGATCGGTTTGGCTTTTTCTTTAGGTGGAAACCATCTTTATGATCGATGACCTTACACTTTGTGCATTGATGTTGCCTAAATGAGCAGTTTCGTAGATAGTGCCATGAGCCGCAGTACCAGCAAGGTGTAGGAGGATTCGTTTTTGACTTTTGGAATGAGGTGGAATGGGATGAACTGGGTGTAGCATAGGCACTTTTATTATGGTTAGGCAACTGTTGGTGAACAAGTTGAATTTCGGAACCTCCTTGACCACCAGATTGCACCAAAGTGTTGTCATTTTGTGCTAGTTGGTGATGTGTTGGTATTCATCATTGATCGCTTCGAGTGTCAGTGTTGGGTTTTGTTCAAGGCGGTTAAGCAACCGAGTTCTGATGTCGGAGAATTTGGCTGATTGATGACTGCATATGAATATGAGGGATTTGAATTGGTCATTAGTGAGAGATTTGAGTTTGAACCGTACGTACTCACGGTTGGGTCATGAAGTTATCGGACTCATTGATGACCAGTTTTAAGCAGCGGTAAGGAGTATTGAAAAGAGAATGCTGATCACCAAAAATTTTGCTGAGGGACTGAACAGTAGCACCGAATGATCGGTCACGTGTGTTTCACGTCAGGATGTAGTTGCAATACTGGTCCAGTTCTGAAGGACCAAGTTTTCTAAGGCGAAGACGCACCTTCCAGGAATCATCTCTGTCAGGAAAATCAACTTTGAAGAGGTCTTCACGACACCTGAACCAATTATCAAATATAATATTTGCGTCAGGATGATAAAGAAACTCTGAAATACCACTGGTGATATCATCGACTGACTGAGGAATTTTCGGTGTAGATGAGACTTGAGAAGAGGTGTGAGTCTGAGTAAGTATCTCCATCAATTTCAGCTGCTGTGCAAACAATTTTTATAATTTAGCTGTATCCACAATAATTCACCAGATCGTTTTTCAAAACGCCGTCGCCAAATGTTATACTCGTCTCTGGGTATGCTTAAAACATTTACAGGTTCACCTAAGTCGAATAACGAGAACAAAAGAATAAACCAGAGTCCAGGTAGGCTACTGTATTCCCTTGACCGAACTGTACCAGCAAGAAGTCTTGATATAATGTGGAAATCGTAATCTACAAACACAGCCAGCGCACAGTGAATCCAAGCACTCAAATTGCGTTTATTTATACTCTATAGAGACGTCCTTGGGACAGTCACAAAAATAGCACACTAAAATGACACAGTAACCGATTACAGCCAAGGATCTTTGTTGTGGGAAATGTAATATCAAGGTCAGCTGATTAGTCCATGAAATAAATCCAAAATAAATATATTTATCAAGCGAGTTCTGGGGATCTGTCATGCCTAAAACGTGTAAACCATTGAATTACTAAAAAACATATGTTCAACAGACAAAATAAGATAAGCTTGACTATTACTGTTCTCGTACGGCAACTCAATATGCACTGTTCTTTCTAAATACACTTCTAAAATACATAATCACTTCTCCATTTGAAGACAGCGTACTTCAAAATTTAATTTAATAATTCTGCACTTCTGTAGTGCATTCACTTTTATGAAGAGAACGAGACTGGCTTAATAGAAACATTCATTTTTATAACTAATTGTACCAGTCATTGTTTAAATGTACTTTTTGTTTATCACACTCTGTACACTCAAACTTTCCGTTTGTGTCACTGCCGTTTCGGCTTTCCTGTCTCTACAATTTCGCCCCACTTTTCTGGAACGATTTTGGTGTTCTTCCTGTACCGAAAAATTGCCAGCAAATATATTATTTACTATGTAATAACTCTTCTCAGCAATGGGCTCATAATTGCTGTAGTGGTGATCATAGTCAACTTCAGCTGGAATTTTTTCTGGTGCTGGTGCTTTACCGCTCTCGATTTTTCAGACAGCCATGCAGATCTCTTCCATTGTTGCTGATTATCTCATGTTTCATTCTTTTGTAGCTTTTTCTGCTAGCATGACTAGGTTTTTTCAAATAATTTCATTAGTCAGCCTGGCACCTTCCTCTACTTTCTTGCTTGCTCCTGAGTGGTCAGTTTTGTGCCTTGCCTTTCTTCGCTCTTGTTCGGCAGATATTGATTGCTGCCCTCTTGATCCTCATTTCTTGACCCAAATCTATAGTACGCACTGTAGTCCATTCGTTGTGATGGTACTTCTTATCGCCAGGAACCTCATACGTGTTGAATTACCCGCTTCCTCGATACCTTTCTGGTCTTTCTGCATGGTAGTTTCCTCTCCATTGAGTATACAGTGAAATGCTTGATACCTATTGCTGATGGCTTTAATTCGCTCACTTTGACAGTGTCTCCAAAAAAAGCCGTATTAAACGTCTTTGATGCTGTTCACCCCCCTGCCCTTTGCTTCCTGAATTAGAGTTCTATCTTTACAATCACCATCTCTTTGATCTTACAACTGACTTCTCATTTCACCCTAGACACTAGCAGCTGATGATTTGAGGCTAAGCCAGCACCTATCTTGCTTTTCATGTGCTCAGTCGTCCTTCTGATCTTTGATTTGATACAGTTGGGTTCCATTACGAACATATTGTGTACATTTATTAATGGTTACGCTGAACGCATTAAGGGACATCAGCCTCGTGACTTCTGATAAAACATGGCCATCACTATGAAACTTCATAAGTCATCTCAATGAGGATCTTCGAAACCCCAGGTCAGAATTTGTAGGCTTTGAATAATTCTTTCTGGTGGGCATTTTTTAGCAAGTTAGATTTTTACAGGATGGAGTGGCTGACTCTATGCTCAAGCCTCTTCCTCAGTCAGGTCGTCAGACTGGCGATAGTTCCAAAGTGGCTTCAGGTGGATTTCAGCAGGACCTCATAGTGAAATGTATTCCTGAATTGTTTTTGCAAGAAGTTGAACGTTTTCAACGAATTTCAGACAAATACGCGCTCGCACAACGGAATCAACAGAATATAAACGTGTGATTTAATCTGAGCGGATGACCTCTTCTTAGGATTTTAACGTGGGTTATTGGCGCTAATTGTTGAACAGAGCTGAGGTTCCTTATGTTACATAGTATCCTCCATAAAGCCAAAATCTAGTCTTTTCCCGTTCGTTTGTGATTACATGCTTTAGCATAGGAAGAACAAGCTATTAATGCTAAGTATGTGAGTTAAGCTTTCCGAAAGCAAGTGGAAATCTTTCCAGGAAATTCATCTTCAAATTATTCTGAAATTCAGATAATGAGGGAGTACGAAGAGGTAATAGAAATAGACCATTGTATGTACCCAATGGTCTGAAATCTCATTGTCTCGTACTGTCAGGCAGACAACAAGTATTTTGATGTGAACATGAAATGATTTTAGATGTCACTGGAAAAAAACTGAAACGAACTAGCTTCAGGCACGAAAATCGTTCAAAACATCGGATGATGAAATATAATCCAGTGGGTTTCTAATGTCAGCACGTGAATACAATGTCATTAGTATCCTTATTATGTGACTGATTAGTACAATTTCATATTTGTCAAAATTTAATGCTTTCATGAATAAGGATAATGGTACCCTCACGATAATTCGATAATGGTAACGTGATAATGACGATCATGATAATTGATCAGTTCGCGAAATAGACTGAGACGGCTTTATGCATGAACAAGATAACAATTATATGATACGGTTTTCGTTTGTACATATCTTGGACAAACTTTCATAGTGGAGTGCGTCGGAGTCGATATGTAGTTGACGGTGTTATTCATAGAGTATGCTTCTTTTATTCTACTCGGCGAATCCATTTGATTCGAGAGACTCTTCTTAGATCTAGTTCTCTAGGCGAAGTCCCAGCAACCAAGGGAATTGAGATCTGATTCCGATTGGGACCAGCCATTACTTTCTATATACCATTGCTTGACCAACGCCATTTTTGCAGCTGCCATGAATTTGTTTCAGTTAATCATTCACTCACACTAACATGAAAATACCAAGCGAAGAAGGTAACTGAGCCAACTAGATAAGAAGAGGCTTGACTAAATATTTGTACTCAGGCAAAAATAAGCTAGACATGTGATAAGCAAACCAGGCATGCACACACTTCTGAATAAAATCAACCAAGTTTATGAGTGAATAGTTGACGAGATGAAGAGAAGTGTGAATAACTCGAGGAGAATGGCTGAATTAATTTTTCCATAGGCTCAGACAAACCAGGTCTGCTAAACCTAATAGTAAACGCTGCAGGCTGAAATTGTTTGAGTCACTGGATGATTTTGAAGTCGAGTCATATTATGCAATGATAGACGAACTAGGTATTCAACTATTTTATCTTGAATGCTGTGATCGATGTCTATTCTCCGCTCCTAGCATGTTGAAACACTACATCTTGGCGTCAATCAAAATATATATAGACTCGAAAATCTCCTACTTCATATGTTTATTGTTTCAGTGAATTTTCTTTTAAGATTTCATTAGACTAATTCTCTCATTCATTACTACTGATCTGTAATTAATTAATTTACATCTCTCTTTTTTTGACTAATTTCTTTGATACTGCTGTTCATTGTTATTCATACACGCACGCACACACACACACACACAAACAATTCTGTCATGTTTTGATGTTCCCAGTAATCTCAGAAAATAATTAAATGTGGCACGTTCCCTCCCATTGACCATGTTTCTGAGGACGTTATTTTACATCCGATAATAGTAATAGTAGTTTCAACTGTGTACTGCATCAATCGTTTGTGATTTGTAGTAGTAGATCTCTGACGTCTCACATCATATCTCCATATATGTCATTAGCTCAAATCTATTTGAATGTATTTCAAACTGATGATGAATTGAAATTCACCAACTCTAAAAAAACCGGACACTTTCATTCTAAATTATCTCAATTGTAATAATTTTAATTGTTAAAATTGTTCACCTCAATTAATCAAAATATGCAACTTTATTTACCAAGTCAATAAACTACACAATAACAATTAACACTGAAAAATATGAAAGAAACTTTTGAGCAACAATTTTAGTACACAATCAATCCTTTAAAGAGTACATTTATTAACATGGTTCATTTTTGTAGTTACCGCGCATTGATATGCATCAGAAAATTCTTGACTATGTTGCAGAACATCAGTCAAACTGTTAATGAAGAATATAAAAACCAAAGTTATGTAATATTTTGTGAGATAAATCGATGAATCAATATCTATTTTTATTCATGGTTCTAAAACGAAACTGTTCGTTGATAACGGTAAACTAATCGTTTATAACGCAACTGGTAAATTGAACTACCTCATAAAAGGAAACATTTGATGTAATTATTTCCAGAACATAGTTTAATTTGCAAGAACAATTGTATAATGGCTATCAGTGGAATCTTTGATGCCTAATTCATCCTAGTTGGGACTCATTAGGTGGTTGTGCTTACGAACCACGAGGTGTTTTCGATGCAATAATGTTAACAATAATGTTATTCATAGAGAAAAGCTATCAAAGAATAGATGACTTGAAAAGATATGGACTGGTGAAATAAAAGTGTTGCATAGGATGAATCGAGTTTTTTCGTGTTAGAGGTATTACTCCCTAGTCTGCGATCCTGATTCTCTTCTGGACTCGGAACTCGTACTTTCTGGGTGCTTGTAGAATACATGATCTATTTCATATCAAGGCTTCTTTTTTCACTCAATGGGGGTTGGGACAATCGGATTAGAGTAACATGTCATGTCGCCGGATCCTCGATCATCGCTCTCGTTTTCCGACTAAGGTAAACTCGTAATAGTTCAAGCAATTCAAGCTGACATGTTTACGTGCATGCGTAACAAAAAAGATAGTCATAGATTGAATGCACCAGTGCTAATGCGAATGATTCTGAGACATATCACATGCAGTCTCGAACCATTATTTACAATAATCTAGCCTTAGGATCAGTCCAACAGCCATTGGCTACGAATAGATAATGGTTTAATCGACCTTAGCTTCATTCCTACCTACTCTTACATTGAACAGATATTACGTGGTGAGTGACACTTTTTCACATGTAACCTGCCACCAGTATTTTAAACAGATTAGGCAAAACATTTCCATTCTGGAAGATTCATCAAATTGTTTATGTCTTACCTGAATACGAAGCTTGGTTTAGACGAATTAGAGACCGCATGAACCAGATAGGAAGAGAGATCTTTATTCATCATCTTCATTCATTAATAACAAATGAAAAGGGAGATGAAATTTGAGAGTGAACTGATTTATCATAACAATAACTAAACATAAGCATCCAATGATAGAGGTCGTACATTTGTGGACGAGACATAATTACATGGTATTAAACAAGGGTGTTCGCTTCCAGACACTTCAACTTATGCATAATGTGTAATGGGCATACTGATAATCAATACTGACCAGTAATCCTTTCCACTGAAACTGTTCTTTTAAGTCATAACCTTAACAAGATGTAAATAAATAACTCCTGAGGGTGAACTGGACAGTGACAATGTGTCCATGTCTACATTGAAGTTGCTCATATCCAGTGTGATTTAAGGTGAATTTCGCTTTTTGTCTCACATACTGAGTAGAGTTATTTAACTAAAAACTACTTTTCACTTCACCATAATATTTTGATCTTGTTCTTAGCTGACTACTTAAATAACTACTACTAGTAATCCAGATGCTTCGATCATTCGAATGTCACTTTTGGGAACAATTAAATTTGTGCCAAATCTTTATTTCACACATTTTCACGTTGAAACGTTGCTACTTAGAAATTATGATGACAACTTAGCACATTTATAGGAATAAATCGTACATACTAGAACTTACTTTTGCAAAAGTTGCGAAAAACGATTTCTCATCGATTAAATCTTCAAGTTTTCGCATATAAGTAGTCTTGTATGTCTATAATCAATATAATTCAGTTAGCAAGAAGATTCTATCTGAATACAAATTTAACTTCATTCATTATTTACAGATAGACTGTCAATAGTAGAATTATATGGAAGCATAGTCGTAAGGGAACAAACATGTGTACGTTTGTGAATGGTGTTGAATAGTAATGAATTGATATTATTTCTGAAGCGTTTAATGACTTTTGCACGATCATAGAAAAATTTCATTTATAACTTAACAAGATAATACCAGCGCATTATTTCTAATACATAATGCATAGTTAGTTTATCAAGAATCACAACTATGTCAGTAAGCAAATATAACTTATGATATATTGTGGTCTTGTGGATTAATTTTTTGGTGAAAAGGATAAACAGAGGTAAATGTATCGCAAAGAAGCATTCGTTCTTCTGGAATCTGATCATATTTTTGACATTGAAACAAGAGTGGATCTTGTACTTGAAAGGCAATGGTAAATTATTCAATAACTAACCAAAATAGCTTTTGAATCAATAAGAACTGGTTGGATTTTATGGTTGAAAATGTACAATTTGTCGATTTGTTTATTCTACTTAAAGCTTTTTGTGATGTATTCAATAGGTAATGTAATTTAAAACTTATAATTTCAGATGATATCCCCATAGTGTTATTATTATTAACGAATACAGAATTCATTAAACATCAACTTAGCTGCATTCACTTACTTCAAAGGATAACATTAGACCATTAATATCAGCTGACAAAGTTTCCAGATCCTAATTTATATAAAGAATATAAGCAGAACACAAATTTGATGCAAGAGCTTTGAGAATTCATGCATCGACTCAGTAAGATCACGATACTAAAAGCAAGTCTCTAACACAATTTTTACTTACTTACTTACGCCTGTTACCCCCAATCGAGCATAGGCCGCCCACCAGCAGCATTGCCCAACCAACTCTGTCATGGGCTTCCCTCTCCAATTCTGTCCAATGTTTGTTCATTCTTCTCATACATTTCTCTATTTCTCGGCGTAATGTATTCTTTAGCCTTCTACTTTTCTTTTTGCCTTGAGGGTTCCATGTGAGGGCTTGTCTCGTGACGCAGTTAGATGCTTTTCGTAGTGTGTCCTATCCACTTCCGACGCTTCTTCCTAATTTCCTCCTCCACTGCAATCTGGTTTGTTCTCTCCCACAGTTCGTTGTTGCTGATGGTGTCTGGCCAACGAACACGAAGTATTTTACGTAAACACTTGTATCTTCTGGATGATGGCTTTGGTAGTTCTCCATGTTTCCGCTCCATACAGTAGAACTGTCTTCACATTTGTACTGAAAATCCTGATTTTGATTTTGGTTGAAAGTTGTTTGGAGTTCCATATATTTTTCAACTGTAGAAATGCAGTCCTTGCTTTGCCAATCCGCACCCTCACATCTGCATCGGATCCACCTTTCTCGTCAATGATGCTGCCCAGATATGTAAAGGTGTTAAAGTCCTCAAGGGCATCTCCATCAAGAGTGATTTGGTTGGTGCAAATTTTATAAATATATAAAATAAAGTTTCTGATGAAAAGCAAACTACTGTTTTTACTGTTGGATAATTCGTCACATTTTTAGTCAGTTATCATATCAATTAATTATTCACACGAATGACGTTTCTTCTGAATAGAGAAGCTCTCCATTCTGTACTTTTTATTGTATAACATATATTGCAGAAATTCAAGCCTTTTTTTCAACATTCTGTAGAGTGATGTTATCAACTGTTCAAATGTAGAAGACTGGGAAATTTGAATTTGTCTTCTTTCAGACCTATCCACTATTATTATACTTCTTATCATTCCTTGATTGGTGCTTGTCAAATACATACAGTCCATTACGTTCGCTATCAATTCTGGCATTGTGTTCAAAGTACAATTACTTGCTTATGATGTGTTTAAGTTTGATGAGAACTGAGTATTTGAATAATGAGTAGGAGATCAGTTTATAAGGAACTTTAAGTTGAAGATTAAACCTAACAATCAAAGTATATTATTGATGGAAACTTGGGAAGATGTGTCAGTAGCCGGAACAGTATACACTTATGCAGAAACATTATAAGCAAGATTCTGAGTGATGGAGCTTTCCTCTACATACGAATAATAACATGTTATTCATGAAAGTGACATCATCGAAATTATCTGTTTTCAATGTCGTTTTAATTTATATATAAACAGGAGAATGTGTTCAATGATTATTTGATTCCTATTGACGTTTCAATGTAGACCACCTATTAAATGTTCAATAACCGAGTGATTAAACTGAGTGAAATAACACAAGTTTTCATAGTTTTCTTATTGTCTATAATGTTATATAAATAATGTTGTAATCGAAAATCGAATAAATCTTTGACTCTCATTTCCCAATCTAATATCACTTACTGAGTAAATACAATTAATTGATAATCATGCTTAAACAGGTCATTTTAAGTTAGGATACATTATTTCTCAATCATAAATACATGTAAACAAGGGTACTTACATCTTTCTCGAATATCATGGAACTATATCGCCTTGATAAACAACATAATTGAACTTCGAACGATGTTAGAACGCTTGAGTTACAAATAGACTCAAATAGTACTTGTCCATTTTTCAAGAGATTACGATCATCTATAAAGTAATATCATTAAAACAAATTACAATCTTTCACATAAGTGTCATCATCAAGAAAACTATTCATTCATTTACTTCTGATATTATTCTCTTGACCATTGAGCAAGAATCCAACAGTGTTAATGTTCAACTCCGATCAATCCACTGCTATGCGTAACCTCAACCAATGTTTCTGGTGAGCAATGCTTCATACCAGGCTTGAAATCCATTGGTCATGATTTCTCACTAGAACTTGGAGAAACTTCTTCTTGGAGCTAATCACTATTGAACATATGATTTGGTTGCATAATAGGGTGGTTATCCAGATTTTCCAGTTACTTTTGAAATCATAAATTGATCAATGTCTAAATTATTGAATTTAGTTATACCATCATCATTGTTGAAACGCTATTGAACTATTCTAAAACACAACCAATTCACTTTTGCAAGTGATTTTTTTCGATAATTCTATTTTTTTTCATACTTTTTTTTCTCATATCGTTATAACTTACTTATTCCTTATGTAGTGAAGGAGAACACATGTGGGGCAACCGAATTGTATTTAACGAAAATTACGGAGTTACTCAGTAAAATAGGAAAACCATATCGTAAATCGTTCATTTGCAAAATATCAGTTCATCATATCGAACTGGACTGTTCCAGTTGCAAAACATCAATCCATTATCTGACATTTCACTGTTCATGCGTTTCATACAAATTCCATTGTGTTCTAACTCTTCCTTTCTTCATCTTCACCCATCTTCTGCTTCCAGACATTACGTTGACACTCAAGTCATATATTACTACTTATAAGTAGCGCGCACCACACTTAGAGTTCTTTTTAATGATGACATTTATACTTGCATATTTGACAACCACCAATTGAATTAAATTAGTTAGTATCTTGTAAAATTTTGAAAATAAAAAGTCAATAATTCAAAAATAAAACTAACATACTGTACATTGCAATTTCATACATAAGCTGTCGACTAATAAACCAACCGACAATTGCATATTTTTCAACAATCGATTGTGCGTTGAAAAATGGTGCATGTAAAAATCCCGCCGATATGCTTATAGTATTATTGTCTAATCCAATTATGTATGGTGTAAAACTGAAAGTTTTCGGTCTTTTTATCCTGAAATAAAAAAAACATTAAAAAAATTACTATTGAACTCATTAAATTTAACAATTTAACAATTTCAAATGTAAACAGTCAATGGGGAAAAAACAAATGTGAACAATGTGAAATCAGTCGATTAGCAAACCATAAAATACTGTACACAAATCATAAGTTCTTACGAGGAGATCACATACAATGGTTCATCGAGCTACTTAGTTTATTAAAAAAACAAAGTCGACAAATACTGGTCAAAGTAATCATCATCATCATCATCATCAATAAGGAACACTTGATTACTGTCAACTAATGACAAGTGTTCACAGAGTAGTACACTAAAGTAATTCATCTTGTTCACACTCACTATTCATCAATTTGATTTAAAATTTCATTTTATGCCGTTAACATCATGAAAAACGTTTTGAAAATATACTGCAGAATAAATCAATTCATTTACGAGAAGGATTAACACCTTTATATATCTGGGCAGCATCATTGACGAGAAAGGTGGATCCGATGCAGATGTGAGGGCACGGATTGGCAAAGTAAGGGCTGAGTTTCTACAATTGAAAAATATCTGGAACTTTAAATAACTTTCAACCAAAACCAAAATCACGATTTTCAATACAAATGTCAAGATAGTTCTACTGTATGGAGCGGAAACATGGAGAACTTACAAAGCCATCATTCAGAAGATACAAGTGTTTATTAGCAGCTGTCTACGCAAAATACTTGGTATTCGTTGGCCAGACACCATCAGCAACAACGAACTGTGGGAGAGAACAAACGAGATTCCAGTGGAGGAGGAAATCAGGAAGAAGCGTCGGAAGTGGATAGGACAAACACTGAGAAAAGCAACGGACTACGTCACAAGACAAGCCCTCACATGGAACCCTCAAGGTAAAAGGAAAAGTGGAAGGCCAAAGAATACATTACGCCGAGAAATAGAGAAAGATATGAGAGGAATGAACAAACATTGAACAGAATTGGAGAGGGAAGCCCATGACAGAGTTGGTTGGAGAATGCTGCTGGTGGGCGGCCTATGCTCGATTGGGGGTAACAGGCGTAAGTAAGTTAGTAAGTAAGTAAGTAAGTAAGTAAGTACGAGAAGGATTGTAATATTTTGTAAAATAAACAGTGAGTCAATGTACACATTCTCGGAGTTCTAGTTCAGAAGACGTGACCAGTGGAGTTCAACCCTGTTGGGTGTAGGCAGTAACTACCAAACACAAATGGGTGAGGTCGCGAAAAATCCCTAGATCAATCAGAGTTAAACATTAATGCCGTTGGATGCCGGCCCAGTGGTCCGATGGTAATGCGTTCGCCTACAATGCCATAGGTCCCGGGTTCAAATCCTGCGAGAAGTAGGAGTCGTGGATGCGCACTGCTGAGTAGTCCCATACTAGGACGAAACGGCCGTCTTTCAGTGATTCCAGGTTTCTAATGGTGGTCTAACAGTGATTGACTGATGATTTCAAATTATATAATTTAGTGTTTTAATTCAAATTACTATGTTCAAATATTGCATCCAATGCGTAGCAATATTTACACAAATGAAAACAAAGGAAAATTTAAATCTATGAATTATGAATTAGTAAATTATCAATTGAAATACTGGTGGAAGTAAATCACGATATGCCGAGAAAGTACTAGTTATTTATGAAGTATTGTTTAATCAACCTGAGCAAATACTTTTTCAAAATATCTAAACGGAAATATAGAACTAACAAATTGTTTTCACGCAAAAACACGTCCAATAATTTTAGAAAGTTAGATTTTTGAGCATAGTACACATTCATGTAGTAATTATCTTTAGAAAGTTCATTCTGAAATAGAAATGAAATGATTTTAGAAAATATTTTCATGAACATCAATTTGTTAAAAATTAACATATTCAGTAAAAAAAAAACTTATAATCAAAACGGGCCATAGAATTGACATTAATACTGCTTTTAAAAAAAAATATTGTCACGAACGAATTCTCAGGTTTGCGTAAACCTTGGCACTTCTCAAATCCAAACCACTCTTACGTACAAAAACAATTTGTCGTAATTTTGAATTTACCTTGAAGTAACTTTATTATCTGAGGTAGTGTGATAACTTCCCACTTTTTACATACTATGTCAATTTTCAATCTCCTACGTTTACAACTGTCACCTTATGTTCATTTAAACTTCTTTTCAACGGTGTTTTTTACAGCGAGTTAGTTTTCTACGGGATGAGGTCAACAATCTCATTCCCAAACCTCCTCCTGCACGTGGCTTGGGACCGGTAGAAGCCCCAGAGGGGTGGAGCTTTTTTAATCAAATGATCCTCCTCAATTTTCCTATACAATGTCTTTGGGAGTGTGACATGTGTGACTATGTAGTACCTCATAACTTATTCATAATACTAACTTATTCGATAATTGTATCGACCAACTTTTATATTCGTAATAATTCGATAACAGTATCGATTACTGTACTTTTGATTGTGTGTATTTATGCCTACTCGTCGCTCATTACATACATGTCTTGCCTATTATTGCCTGACTATAAACACTTAGTGGTGCATCAACGCAGAAAGATTTATTTCATCGCATACTCGGTCATTCGTATTAACTGGCGAGCCCTAATTCAAATTTAACACAGTCACAAAAAGAAAATAACTGCTTAAATAAAGAAATATGTTGGAAGTATTATCGTCTAAATAGTTGACTGCGATTTAGTTTTGAAAAATATACAAACTGAGAACAGCTGATGGATTACTAAAATGTCTAGTTTTCATAGTCTCGGTTACGATCGAACTCATATCATAATTACTGTACAATTGTGAATTCGTAAACTATGCATTCCAGTATAATGATTTTTCTCAGAAGTAAACCAGTGTAGTTTGTTATAATAAAGATTCACAATTTTTCCGTGATAAGTTAAATGAGTAGTAAAAACTCCTTAGCTCAAATGTTATACAAATATAAAAATATGAGTTCAGCATGTTTTTCTTACAATGTGAATGTTTTATTTAATTGACATGAACAGGTAGACACAAGAAAGGTCTTCATCAATAAATTAAACTCGATCGTGGAAGCGTACCGAAGAGGGTTCGTGTTCATATTTCGGAGTATGCCCTACAACTATTGAGGCTTAGACATTTAATATACTCTCAAAAAAGTAATTGTGTGTCATCTGCCTTACAGTGGGCATCCTTTAAATTCTATTTCCAAATCATTTAAAAACATCCATATTTAGTTGTGTGTTACTGGAAATCGTCAGACACTAGGCATATAGCTGTAATAGAAATCAGCTTGTTCTCACTAAGTACCAAAATCACTTAAGAATTTGTTGAGAATATAAAACGTACAACTTCCATTGAAAAGCAGGTTTTGATCGATTTTAGATTTATAAAGAACTTGATATTACTTTGTTCATTTCTCTTACCGTTCTACGTTCAAGTATTTGTTAAGAGTGTATTCAAGAGAGTCGAGTGCATATTTCATTGCTAAACTTGTAATTGAAATCATTTTTGGCTTATTTAACTGACACAATAAAATATTCTAGCTACTTAGTGTTCAAATACACAATTTTTTAATTACAGTTATGGAGATCAGTGCTTTTACAAGTTGATGTAGGTAAGGTTGCGCAAATTACTTAAATTAATCAGAGTTATACACTGACACCATTGAATGGCAGCCTAGTGGTCCAGAGGTTAGGCGTCCTCGCGCTAGACTGAAGGTCCTAGGGTTCAAATCTTGCGAGTAGCAGGTGTCGTGGATGAGCACTGCTGATAAGTCGCATACCAGGACGATATGGCCGTCCATTGATTTCAGGTTTCTAATGTCAATTTGACATTGATCTATTCATTGATTTCAATGTGTGATATTCAACAACATGAAATGGTGAGTTGATTGTGTATATAACAATATTCCCCATAAAAAAACCTTTAATAATAATAGGCCATTCAATTTCATTGAATTCAGTGGTCTTTTAATTAAAAACCAAAATTGCTAATCTATTTATGTATGGCTTTGTTTTATGAAACTCACTTTAAATATGAAATCACTGGTCACTTTGTCTTTCGCATTTGACGTTTTCGAAGTGATTATGGATAATTTCAACTCTTCTACCTAGATCATACAATGAATTATTTACATAAAATTATACAAACTAGACAAACCATTTGAATAGTCTTCTGTTGACCTTCTTTATTAAACCATGCGTTTGATGATAATAATTGTATCGATTTTTTACGCAACTCATTGAATACACGGTGAATCTATCCAACATAAATAAATATGAAAGGTTTTAAACAAAAGAACATCATAGATGACAAACATGTATTGAGGTGTTATCATGTGGATTTGCACCTGTTAAGATATTTATCCAATATCCTAACAGAATTATTGGTCAATTTCTATTGGTTCATTCCTACTGGTCAATTTTATGATCGTCCTAGATATCAATGTCACGTGCTCCAATGTCGTTTCTTATTGGTTGTCCTGACTATCAATGTCACTTCAAATGTTGCTTCTTATTGGTCGTCTTAACTGTCAATGTCACAGACTTCGATGCTGTTTCCGATTTGACCAAAATGTATAAATACGCATTATTTGTAACGTTTTATGACCACGACCAGGACCAGGGCTCTATCCCGGATCCCTAGTCCGGGATCCTGATTCTCATCTGGATTCGGACCTCGTACTTTCTGGATGCTTGTAGAATACAGGTTCTACTTCATATCAAGTTTTCTTATTTTTAATAAATATGGGGGTTGGGATAATCGGATTTGAGAAACATGTCGTGTCGCCGGATCATCGACCCTCGCTCTCGTTTTCTGACTAAGTAAACTCGTAATAGTTCAAGTTTATCAAGTTGACGTGTTTACGTGCAGGCGTAACAGCACTAGGTTGAAGGATTATACATTTTAGGACAAAAAATACATAGTTCCCGATTTGTGCTGTTCCTTGTCGTCTCAGTTCTACTGAAATCAAAGAAAAAATTTACATTGAAAAACAACCGATCGTCCGCTGAATCACCCTCTGATTATTTGTGTGATTGTTTAGCACATGAAGTATGTCAAACTATCCATCAATACGATTTAATATGCCAAAATCGAACAGAATACATTTTACCACAGTTCATAATTCAAAAGTGATTACTTAAACAGTAAACACAAAAAAATCCATTCTAAATCAATTTTAAATGTTCTATAGCACAAAACAGAATATCATGTAGAATATTTTTTCATCCGATAGTAAACTTACTTCATTTTCAATTCTTTTATTCACACTAGAATATTCATGGTTGTGTTCCATTGTCCATGGGAAATTTTCTTTGATTTCATCAATGCAAGTCGTCAATTTGTTCTCTGTTTTATGTTTGTTGACTTGGTTCAATAAATATTTTCATAGCAGAATGAAATGATACGAGAGAATAAATAAATAAAAACATTATATATATATATATATATATATATATATATATATATATATATATATCGAAAATTGAATTAACTTGTTTTTAATTTTCGATCCAAAAAACCAACAGTACAGTCGTGTATAGCTTTTTCTATCCACACTACTGGTTGAAGTGGTTGACACTGTTTGATTAAACAGAATTCTACTCATCAGTTCAAGCATCAAACTTTTTTTTGGTTTCAAAGATAAGCATCAAACTGTTCACTAGATAAACTGTTTTCATGCTTATAACAAGACCGAATGATGCTTACTGATCATTGAATCACTATTTATCATAATTTTTTTACCGACACTTCACCAATCAGACAGAATACTGTTAAACATTTTGCATTACATTTTAATTCGCAAAAAAAATCACCAGTAAACAAATCCACTCTGTTTAATTCTAAATATGAATGAGTTTGTATTTCTTCTGTTTACTTAGAATAATTTTGACTCTAATGAACAATGTAATCAGTATGAATGAAATCTGAGATTTTTAATATTTATGTAAATGACATGATCACTTACCAGTGTTATCAGGATAAAACTCTTCAAAATATTGGTTCAAAGTACTTCTCATGTTGTATAGGAAACTGATCACTATCAAATTGTGTAGATCTCTATAAATATTATTTAGAAAAACCATATGTAATCGATTCGCACATATAATCAAAAAAAATTATCTGTTCACATGAAATAACCGAAAACCAGCTTATCCTAAATAACTTATAGTTGTCGTTTGTAAGTAATCGGATATTTATCCAATATCCTAAAATAATTGTTTGTAAGTCTGATTCTATTGGTCAATTCCTGTTGGTCGTTCTTACTTCCAATGTCACACACACACTTTCTGGATGCTAGTAGAATACATGTCCTACTTCATATCGTCTTCTTCTTTTACTCAATGAGGGTTTGGGACAATCGGATTAGAGTAGCATGTCATGTCTCCGGATCCTCGATCCTCGCTCTGGTTCACCGACTAAGGCAGACTCGCATATCAAAATGACGTGTTTACGTGCATGCGTAACAGTAAGCCTAAAGGAAGTCGACCAAACACATCAACATACAATAAGAATACGTCACTATGGAACATGAATCACAGAATAACTAATCTCTATATATTTCCTTTTTGTGTCTTCAAAACATTTTATCGAAATACTATGACACAAATGCCATTCACATAGTAATCATTTGTAGATACTGTTCACATTGTATATGTGACTACTGACTACGATGATTTCAACTAGACTATTCAACAGTTAATTATCTTGTCATAACAATTTGTTCGATTAGAATAGTATCAAAAACCACTTGTCGCATAGTAGTGACAATGATCGCGCTGGACAAAAAAATGTTTGGAATATTGAATGTAGACACAATTATCAAACTAAA